AAGGAGTCAGATCTTGTGCCTCTTCTCCTTTCAGAATTCTGATACTTCCCAGAAGGTAAAAATGACCCTTGAACACTATGCAGCATTCAGGGGGCAAGCTAGGAGACGTCCCTCAGATGACCAGTCTTTGGGAGATCAGTGCTTGTAATGGAGCGGTCCCTAGGGCCTCAATGTGACCACCGATATTTTCCAGCATCTCTAAGAAGAGTAATGAGCTGGAATCTAGAGATTGCTTGAATGAGCCAATAATCCTGGACAGAAATAGGGAAAATTCTCAGCTCTTTCCAGCAGGGTAAAGGAACGGGGAAATAAGAGACCAGAGGATTTAGTTACCTAAAGCACCAGAGAGTCCTAATGCTGCAAATAGAGAAGTTGGTGGGTAAAGGCGATCAGATAGCAGGAAATTTACAGATCTGTACCAGCCACAGGGGAATCTAATAAAAGTGTGCTAGCAGTGGCGTTGCCCTCAGCACGTGATAATTTAGTTGCAAGAATTAATACACTTGAAAATAACAAAATTTGGTGCTAAAATGTGGCATCAGTGAAGAAATGCTCTGGGAACTCTGAAAAGGGACAGATCATGTGGACTGGCATGCTGGGTGAGCAGAATGGCTAAATAAGATGGTGCTCACTCAGCCAAAGGTTTTTATTTTTTTTTTATTTTTTATTTATTCAGCCAAAGGTTTTTATGTCCCAGATACAGTGGCCACAGCTTATAGAGGTGAGTATGTCTGAGTTTTGCCTGGTATCATGGAGGAAGTACGGGGGAGGAAGTTTCATCACCATTTGTCAGTCACCATTGCCATCCACAAGAACCACAATAAACATTCACTTGAACTTCCCTCCTGAAGTTTACACTTCCGTTGAGGAGAGAGATCACACACAGAAAGAGTTAAAGGCCTGAAGAAGAGAATATGTGCCAGGAGCACAAAGAGAAAAGTGAAGGGGGCATGTGAGAATGGGTTTCCTGGAGGAGGTGGTACTTGAGCTGACCCTTGAAGGAAGGTTAGAGTCTGGGCTAATGGAGAAGAGGGTAAAGAGGACCATAAATGGCACCAACAAGGCACAGAAGGTGAGAGTAAACAAGATGAGTGTATAAGTGAGAAAACTTGCGGGACTGGAGCTAGGGTAATATGAGTGATAAAATTGGAGACAAGGGGGCCGGCACTGTGGCACAGTAGGTTAAGCTGCCACCTGTGACGCCACCATCCCAGATGAACACCAGTTCGAGTCCCAGCTGCTCCACTTCCGACCCAGCTCCCTGCTAATGTGCCTGGGAAGGCAGTGGAAGATGATCCAACTGCTTGGGCCCCTGCACCCACATGGGAGACTGGGATGGAGTTCCAGGCTCGTGGCCTTGGCCCAGTCCAACCCTGATTGTTGCAGCAATTTGGGGAGTGAACCAATGGAGGAATGGAAGATCTGTCTCTTGAAATTTGTCTTTGAAATAAAAAAAAAATTTCCTCATTGTAAAATAAGTTGGAGACACAAATATACATAATGATACGAGTGGGTCAACCTGCGTGAGATCCTTCTCGCAAACAGATTCCTGAAAAGTGGCCCTGAGAGGCTGAGCACCATATACTGCTGGCGGAGAAAGTCCTTACACTCCAAGCAAGCACTCAGCGTTTTCAGGTCATGCCTGACAGTGTTGACCCTCCCTGGCGAAACAGAGAAGAGGAAGGCTCATCCGCCCAGCGCAGCTGCGAGCGAGCACAGGTGCAGGCCAAGCTGGGGAGGCTGCCTCAGAAGACAACAGCCTTTAGATGTTGACTCTGTCTCAGAATCAGCCCCGGGGAGAGGAGATGGCAGTTGTGAGAACCTTAGAAAAACAACATAATGACAAGACTCAGCCTATCTCTCGAAGTCATCACTCCCGTAGCTGACTTTGGCCACGCCTCCCGTAGATTCTTCTTACTGAATTCTTGTAGCAAAAGGAGATTGGCACCGGCTCTGCTACGTTGATATTATTACCAGGAGGCAGATGTTTTCTCTTTTTCTGTGGGGTTTAGAATTATGCAAATGAAGGCATGAAAACAAAAGCGCAGTGAAGTGGGGGAGGATTGTTCTTGAGAATCCAGGCAATTTCAGAGCTCTCTAAGACACCCCTCTCAGCTTCTACTCACAGCTCTCCTGGCTCCTTGCCAATCTATTTCGAATTTGCCACTTCAGAACCTTTCAACCCAAGATCTGAAAGTTCATTGTAAAGCTTCGATCGTGACTTCATTTTGCAAATGGAGAAATCAAGGCATATGCTATAAGCTTTCAATGACTGCAGGTTGACCTCGAGTCTTGACCTCCAGCCTGTTTATCTTCCTTTTGCTGCATACAATCTTGCCTGGAAAGGACACTCTAGTCCAACTGCCTCCCAGCACCGCCTCCCTCCCCTCAGCCCCCAGTGTTATTATCTGGAGGGCAGTAGGACCTAGGGAGGTGCAACCCTGCGGCCAAGGTAGACACACCTGCCTAACCGCGTGCGTTGAGCGAGTGTGGGAGTGAGCCACTTAGCTAGTTAGGGAGGGCGGGGTAGAAGTGGGTGCCTGGGAAAGGAGCTCTTGGGGAAGAGGAGAGCTGTGGCTCCCTCCCAGATCTGGGGGTCGTGGAGAGAAGTGCTTCTGAACAGTGACCCAGGCCCCTTGTTGTAGCGCCTCTCCATAAGGAGCATCCCTCGATTGGCCACCCTGAGCCTGTCTGGTTTTGTTCGGCCCCAGCTGTCCCTCCCAGCTCGCCCGCCCTTAGTTCCTGAAGCCGCCGACCTGTCGCGGCTGGAACCGTGGGCCAGGCGAAACCCCGGCAGTGGACGGCGCCCAAGAGTTTGATGACATCTGCTCTGGCTGCGTTGGCATCCCATGCGTTGTTCCTCTCACTAGCGAAGTTTCTCAGTGGTGCAGCCCCTCCAGCCTTTTCTTGATCGAGGAGCGCGCGCGCGTTCCGCTGCGGTCCTTGGAGACTGCGCTAGGCGACTGGGTTGTGGCTTTGCTCCAGCCCCCAGCCAATCTTGGGGGTGGGGCTTGGGGAACCGAGGAGCCAGCCTGAGAACCCTCGACTCACGCCGGCGAGCTAATAGCCACAACCTAGCATATAGTTAGAGGACCTGGGCGCTGAAGTAATCTCTCTCCGAAGGAACGCTCTGGCTGCACCTGCTCTCCTACTCCGACTTGGTTCTCCGCTGACTTGACACTGTGAGAAGCTGCTGAGGGGCCGGTGCCCCGACAGGTGGCTGTCCCCAGCCTGGGGGACTGCTAAAGGAGTCGCAACTGAAACAGCTGTTCCCATGGCTCTTCAGGCACCTAGAATTGGGATCCGGACTGGGCGCTGGGATGCTTGCTTTTTCCTTGTTCCAGTTTCACAGCACGTATGTTGATGATTGGACTCTTGAGCCAGTCAAGAGTCAACTTCAAAGTGGTACTCCTGGGCTCTGCATCCCAGACTCCGAGTGGAACAGGAGTCCAGAAGAGAGGGATCTTCTGCTCTAACTAGTGGATCTCCGTTCTGGAACTGGACTTCACAGAGCCCTGCTCACTGAGGCTTGACCATAGTGGCTACAGGCTTCTCTTGGGGATGGGTGTGTGGGTGCTGTGAGCGCCAGATGTCAACACTCCGAACCGCGACAATGGACAGAGTTTACGAAATTCCCGAGGAGCCCAATGTGGACCGGGTTTCATCTCTGGAGGAAGATGTCATCCGTGGGGCCAGCCCCCGCTTTACTTTTCCCTTCGGTATCCTCTTCTCCACCTTTTTGTACTGTGGGGAGGCTGCATCTGCCTTGTACATGGTTAGAACCTATCGGAAGAGTAATGAAACCTTCTGGATGACATACACCCTTTCCTTCTTCATGTTTTCATCTATTATGGTCCAGCTGACCCTCATTTTTGTGCACAGAGATCTGGCCAAAGATAGACCATTCTCATTATTCATGCATCTAATCCTCTTGGGACCTGTTATCAGGTGAGCAACTTTTTATAATCCCCCCCCACAACCTTCCCCACCCCAGACTCGGCCAGAGAAAGGCGAAAATATTCTTTGCAAGACTGATACTGTGCTTCTAATCTAATTGATTTGTCCATTCCTTCCTTCCCACTCTTGGCTTCCCTGACTACCATTAAAAAAAAAAGACTTAACTGAAATCTTAAGTGTCACCATGATGAACATGTGGCATGTTCTTGTGTTCCAAAACCGGGAGTGATAGCTTCAATAAGACTTCATTAGGTAATGTTTGTGACTCTGGGTTGGGACGGTGACAACCGGTATGGAACTCTTAGATGCTGTCACACAGGCCATAGCTGCAGAGTAACTTTGACTCTGCCTTTTACCTGAGAGCTTCCTCTCTGCTCTACTCCATCCCATTTCACATCCAGTTGCCTTATTCGGAGCTGCTTGGGCTAGTGCTGCTGCCACTTCCAAATTTTCCAGTGTTATTTGACATCTGGGAAATATTTTAAGACATCTGTGGTAATCTGGCACGCCAACCCAATGTCGTTATTTTTCTCCATCCGTTTATCTCTTGATATATTTTTGCAGTAAAGGTACGTGGTTGGAAGGGGGAAAGTAGTCCGCTCCATCTGGCTGTAGCAACACAATGTACTTGTATCAAATATTTCCCTGCAGATTGCCTTAAAGGAATGAGAATGTGTGTAACCCTAAGGAGACAGACATCTGTGTCAGTAGTCTGACCTAGACACTATGAGATTTTCAAGGTAGAGACACATTGCAAAACTTATGAGCTCAGGAGGGAGGGATGGACCAAGTGTGTCATGATTGCAAGAGAGGCAACCACCTGCAGTCAGCTGAGGAATGTGGGTCAGAGTGCTGATGTTGTAATTGCAATGGGAAGCTAGCTCATCCTGAGAGAACTAACAAGTGGCTGTGAAACTGATTAAGGATGGAGCTCCTCCCCCTCTTAGGAAGTTGTTTATCTGTACAGGTACGTATACTTTTGTCACTCACACTTTAGTAAAGCTATAAAATTTTTAAAAAGATTTACTTATTTTAAAAAAAGATTTTATTTAATTTATTTGAAAGGTGGAGTTACAGAGAAAGGGGAGAGGGAGGGAGGGAGGGAGAGAGACAGAGAGAGAGATCTTCCATCTGTTGGTTCACTCCCCAAATGGCTGTAATGGCTGAGGCTGGGCCAAAGCCTGGAACCTGGAACTCCATCCTAGAAGGGTGGCAGGGGCCCCAGTACTTGGATAGTCTGCTGCTGCTTTCCCAGGCATGTTAGCAGGATGGGAAGTGGAGTGGCCAGCGCTCATATGGGATGCTATCGTCGCAGGCAGAGGCTTAACCCACTGCACCACAACACTGGCCCCAAGTTGTAATAATCATTATATTTTAAAACAGGGAGGAATTGATTAGGCTCCATCAGAGAAAATCCAGGATATCAACAGAAGCAGTGGCCCGGAATTCAGGAGACCTGCAATCTAGTCCTCCCTCTCTCATGAACTAGTTGTGTGGCCTTGGTGAAATCCCTGAAGATGCCTTGGGCCTCAGTTCCCTTCTTCGTAAAATAAGTGCATTGGGCTAGATCGTGAGTCTCAAAGCCAGTTGCTTGCAGAGGCCAGGCAGGTATCACAAATGACTGAAGTAGGCCACGTAGAAGAAAAAGTCGCCTCATGTGTGTTGACAAATGACAACAAAATCTCAATGTTAGAAGAATGATGGGGAATAGTGACCTACTTAAAGGAGGCAGCTGCTCATAGTCCCAGCCCATTGTTTCTGTGTTGGAATTCACATGCACTGTTGCCAGATCCCTCAACTTTTCAAGAGAAGCTCTCAAGACCGGATTTTCCTTATATATAAAATAACATGATTTTAAATTTTAGCAACTGACTTTAAAAACAAAACAAAAAAAACATGATATGGGCCAAAACCATATGTGTTATTCAGCTGTGACTCAGTCTATGCAATCTTTGGACCGGGTGAGCTAAAGGTCATTTCCAGTTCTAAATCTTTGACATTAAGCTGTCAAAGTAAGACCTCATCTTGAACTCGGAACCAAAAAAAAGGAAAGATGTTGCTGGGAAAGCAAGGAGACAAATTTCTCCCTTTTTGAATACACTGTATTGAGTTAACAGGTTAAAAACTTTCAAGATGAAACTCAGCAAGTACCCAGTCCTGGGTTTGGACTACCGATGTCTACTTTTCCCAGGCTGTCTTTGGTTTGTACCACTCTGTATGGAGTGTTGAGTAGTGTTTTTCATTTCTGTTGTTTAGCTTCCACAGAAATGATTGGAAAGCATTTATACCATCAGTCAACTAAACGTCTAATAGACAAAAAATAATTTAAAAATTATAAATTATACCCTTGATACACTTATTTTCAAGGCCAATTTTTTTTTCTTTATTTATTTATTTAAAAGGGAGAGTTACAGAGAAGCAGAGGCAGAGAGAGAATGAATAAAAGAGAGAGAGAGAGAGAGGTTGGGGTGGAGTCTTCCACCCACTTGTTCACTCCCCAAATGGCTGCAATTGCTGGAGCTGGGCTGATCCGAAGCCAGGAGCCAGGAGCTTCTTCCGGGACTCCCACGTGGGTGCAGGGGCCCAAGGACTTGGGCCATCTTCCATTGCTTTCCTAGACCATAGCAGAGAGCTGAATCGGAAATGGAGCAACTGGGACTTGAACCAGTGCCTCTATGGGATGCCGGCACTGCAGGTGGTGGCTTTACTTGCTACACCACAGTGCCAGCCCTGGTCGGTTACTATTTTCTTTTTTTAAAGATTTTTTATTTATTTATTTGAAAGGTAGAGTTACAGACAGTGAGAGGGACTGACAGAGAGAGAGGTCTTCCTTCCGCTGGTTCACTCCCCAAATGGCCACAATGGCCAGAGCTGGGCCGATCTCAAGTCAGGAGCCAGGAGCTTCTTCCGGGTCTCCCATGCAGGTGCAGGGGCCCAAGGACTTGGGCCATCCTCTACTGTTTTCTGAGGCCATAGCAGAGAGCTGGATGGGAAGAGGAGCAGCTGGGACTAGAACCGGCACCCATATGGGATTCCAGCACCACAGGCGGAGGATTAACCTACTGCGCCACAGCACCAGCCCCAGTTACTCTTTAGGTAGGTAGGAGCATGATCACTGCTAGCAGGCATATGAACATGTTTGTAGGGCTTGGCTCCCTTCCATGAAATGCAAGCACACTTCTGGAAGTGCAAATATGCTCTAATTTACTGAAGCCTATAAGCAAAGTAAATACCATTACTTGAACCGGTAAATAGCCTTACAAATAGAAGCATAAACAGAGCATTTTATGCCACCACCTCCATCAGTATTTTATATGGCAATGGCATTTTTGGGCTTAGGTTATAATCTAAAATCTTGGGGCTGGCATGTCACAGCGGGTTAAGCTGCCATCTGCAATACCAGCATCCCATGTGAGCTCCAATTTGAGTCCCAGTTGCTCCACTTCCAATTTAGCTCCTTGCTAATGCGCCTGGAAAGGTAGCAGAAGGTGGCCCCAGTACCTGGGCCCCTGACACCTACATGGGAGATCCAGATGGAATTTTAGCTCCTGGCTTCAGTTTGGCCCTGCCCCAACCATTGTGGTCATTTAGGGGAATGAACCAGCATATAGACGATCACTTTCATGGGTCTGGTGCCGTGGTGTAGCAGACTAAGGCCCCACCTATAGCACCAGCATCCCATATGGGCGCCGGTTCATGTCCCAGCTGCTCCTCTTCCGATCCAGCTCTCTGCTAATGTGCTTAGGCAAACAGTAGAGGATGGCCCAAGTCCTTAGGCCCCTGCACACACATGGGAGACCCGGAAGAAGCTCCTGGCTCCTGGCTTCAGATCGACCCAGTTCTGGCCATTTGGGAAGTAGTCCAGCAGATGGAAGACCTTTCTCTCTGTCTCTCTCTCTCTCTTTCTATAACTCTGCCTCTCAAATAAATGAAATCTTTTTTTAAAATTTTAAAAATGAAAAATAAAAGAAGATATCTCTTTCTCTGTCTCATCTATATTTTTATGCCTATCATCTCTATTTATATATGTGTGTGTGTGTATTGCTGTCTTTCTCTGTCACTCTACCTTTCAAATAAATAAATCTTTAAAAAAATCTAAAATCTTTTGTTGAAAATGAGCTTGTGCGTTTTTCCATAAACAGAAAGAAATGGCGTTTTTTGTCTTCTCTCTTCTTTCCTTCCATCTTTTCCTCTCCCAGGTATTAGAGTTTGTCTCTAGAAAGCGAGTTCCATGCTGCACGCTTTGCAGTGGTGATGCGGGAGCTGTCTCAGGGGATCTGGCGGAGCGTAGCAGCACATGTTTCACACCTTTCTCTTGGGAGCCAAAGCCTGGAGTGCACAAAAGTCTCTGAGGAGCTTGTGTTTGACCTAATGTTCTGTTAGATTACACTGCTGTTATGATCCCGCCTCCCACTGTTTCTTACCCTGCATTATTTTCTTCCTGCCTTGGTCTTTCATTTACTCAGAAAATGTTGGTTAAATTCCCACTATGTGATCAGGGCCATAAGCAAGATAAACACAACCCCTGTTCTGAGTCGACTGGGGAGGATGTCTTGATTTCCACCGCAAATCTGACTATTCTTACTTGTCGTAAGAGGCGGTTCACATTTCCCATTCATTTTAGGGTGAGTGGGGGAAGTGTTCCAAAACAAGATGTTCCAGGTGCTTCTCATCTATTCACCACATCAGAGCTGCTGGAGTCTTCTGATTAACACGGGGGAGCTGGGAGAGGTACAGCAGGAAGTGTGGTCTTATCACTACTTTAAGGCTGCTAGGCTCTCAAGAGGATGTTTTTCTCCTTGTAAAAAAAGTCAAGTTCCAAAGGCTATTGTCTGCAAGTAAGTCAAGAGACACAGAAAGAGGCAATGTTTTTTTGAAAAAAAAAAAAAAAAAAAAAAAAAAAAGAACCTCCAGACTTCAACTGTGGAGCTACACGCTCCGGATAAGGGATGCTTTCCTTCAGAAATTTGAGGTATTATGAAAACAAAGGCTCTGGGGAAGCTTCTTCATTGACTCCTTATCCAGTATGTACCCTTGTGTTGGAGGCATTTTCTGCCCTAAGCCTCTTCTTAAGGAGACAAAACAGTTCCTTATGTCCTCCAAGAAGTACTTCTGAAATGGTGTTCGCAGGTCCATCAGTGACTGAGCAAAAAAGGATTTAGGCTCGAGTAACTTGTAGAAGGCACGGCCAGCCCTCTGACTCATGAGGAATGAGCAGAACAGAAGAGAGTGGTGAAAAGAAGCACAACCTCCCCAAGTTATTTTTCCCCTCTTACAACCTCCCTTCCCAAGACAGCTTTCGTGAAGTTCCCATAATGCTTTGCTTCTGCAGATGTTCGGAGGCCATGATTAAATACCTCACACTGTGCAAGAAGGAGGGGCAGGAGGAGCCCTATGTCAGCCTCACCCGAAAGAAGATGCTAATAGATGGCCAGGAGGTGCTGATAGAATGGGAGGTGGGCCACTCCATCCGGACCCTGGCTATGCACCGCAATGCCTACAAACGTATGTCGCAGATCCAAGCCTTCCTGGGCTCAGTGCCCCAGCTGACCTATCAGCTCTATGTGACCCTGATCTCTGCAGAGGTCCCCCTGGGTAGAGGTGAGTGGGGTCAGGAGAATGGGGGAGGGGTGCTCCACTTAAGTCAATGGGCTTAGAAGTCTAGATCCAAGCTGTCCAATAGACTAGCCACTAGCTTCATGTGGCTATTTAAATTAAAATCACATAAAACCAAAACTTCCTTAGTAATATTAGCCACATGTCAAGAGCTGGGTTGGCACATGTGACTAGTGAGTCCTGTGCTGGATAGCACATACATAGAACGTCTCTATTGTCATCAAAAGTGCTGTTGAGGGACTGGCGCTGTGCACAGTAGTAGGTTGGTTAATCCTCTGCCTGCGGCACTGGCATCCCATATGGGCACTGGTTCTAGTCCAGCTGTTCCTCTTCTGATCCAGCTGTCCGCTGTGGCCTGGGAAAGTGGCAGAGGATGGCCCAAGTCCTTGGGCCCCTGCACCTGCGTGGGAGACCCGGAGGAGGCTCCTGGCTCCTGGCTTTGGATAGGCCCAGCTCTGGCCCTTGCGGCCATTTGGGAGGTGAATCAGTAGAGGGAAAACCTCTCTCTCTTTTTCTCCCTCTCTCTCTCTCTCTCTCTCTGTGGCTCTGCCTCTCAAATAATTAAAAATCTAGGAAAAAAAGTGCTGTTTGGCAGCACTCATAGATAGTCAAAGAACTTGGGGAGTCAGACATCTCGGGGCTGCCACATTTCTTAAACTGGGGTAAACTGCTTAGACTAAAACTGCCATAGACAAACTCTCTGGGTGCAGAGGAAGCTAATAATACATGCAGGCAGTAGGATATTTTCCCTTGGCCAAAGTATTTAAAGTATGCTGTTAGTTGTTTTGTTTTGTTTGTCTAGGGATGGCTGTCTTTAAATACCAGGTTCCCATATATTACTAATTAGCCGAATCACGTGGCAAGCTTCTTTATAAAATTATACTTCCTCCCGAGATCTGAATCAGTCCTGGAATGGGGGGAGGCCTGGAAACTGTATTTCTCCAAAGTAGCCTGCTTGGTTCTGAGCCACCACATTTGGGAAGCCCTGAGTTAATCAATTCACCCAATGCCAGGGAAGAGAAAGAAAAGGGGTGTGGGATGACTACGGAGGGGAGTCGTGGCTGCTCCAAGTTCTGACCTTTGCTGGGATCTTTGGAGGAAGTTACAAAGTAGTGACTGCGGTAATTTCCTACTTGTAAAAGAGGGATCCTGAGATGAGTAAGTGAGTCAGTGTTTTCAAAGCCGAGATAAAGTGCTGTTAACGTGTTTTAGCAGCCTGCTAGGGCAGAGGCTGGTACAGATGTGGGTACAGCTCTGGACCATTTCTTATCAGTAGGCGCTGACCCTGTTGGGAAAAGTCACAAATAAATGCAAGGTGGAAATGTGCCTTCTTTTGCTCCTCTAAGAATTTTCGTGAAGTTCTGTTTGTCTTGAATGTTTCCACTGTGCAGAATTGATGACAGTTTGATGAGAAAATTCTCGAGAAATGATGATGCTTTTCCTCCTGACAACTTTGAAAGGCACCAGATCATCTAATTAAAATAGTTGTATGTAGACATTACAAAAGTAATACATATACAGGCCAGCGCCACGGCTCACTAAGCTAATCCTCCACCTAGCGGCGCCGGCACACGGGGTTCTAGTCCCAGTCAGGGCGCCGGATTCTGTCCCGGTTGCCCCTCTTCCAGGCCAGCCCTCTGCTGTGGCCAGGGAGTGCAGTGGAGGATGGCCCAAGTGCTTGGGCCCTGCATCCGCATGGGAGACCAGGAGAAGCACCTGGCTCCTGCCATCGGATCAGTCCGGTGCGCTGGCCGCGGCGGCCATTGGAGAGTGAACCAACGGCAAAGGAAGACCTTTCTCTCTCTCTCTCACTGTCTACTCTGCCTGTCAAAAAATTAAAAAAAAAAGTAATACATATACAAACTGATTGATCCACAGGTGATTTGCAAAGAAAATTCCCAGAAAGCTACTCAAGAAATTACCTAGGAGGTGTGGAAACGAGAAATCAGCAAGTTTTTGCTTTTTACTTTATTATTATTTTTTATTTATTTGAAAAGCAGAGTTACAGAGAGGCAGAGGCGGGGGCGGGGGCGGGGAGAGAGAGAGAGAGAGAGAGAGGTGTCTTCCATTCGCTGGTTCACTCCCCAGAGGGCTGCAACAGCTGGAGCTGAGCCAATCTAAAGCCAGGAACCAGGAGATTTTCTGGGTCTCCCATGTGGGTGCAGGGACCCAAGCACTCGGACCATCATCTACAGCATTCCCAGGCCACAGCAGAGAACTGGATTGGAAGTGCAGCAGCCTGGATTCGAACTGGTGCCCACATGGGACGCCAGCACCGCAGGCAGCAGCTTTACTCACTACACCGCAGCATTGGCCCCTGCTTCTTACTTTAATCCTTCTATATGGTTAGAATTTTGACCATAATCACGTATTAGTATTTTGGTCTTTATTTTTTAATTATAAAAACCAGAAAAGGGTATGGTAAAAGTTGAAAACCACACAGAAGAAAGATAAAGTAAGAACTATCATCTTACTCCCCAGGGATAATCTATGTTAATTACTCACTATCATTCTTTTGAGACTTTTGTACCATGTAAATATAAACACATAAACAGTGCTTGTGTGAGTGTACTTCAGAATGTTCATAGAAAATGTATATTATGAAAAAGTTATGCACGGATTTCAAAAAACTTTTGTTTCAAAACAAACCGATCTTTTAGTTCCTTTTTTTCTGTGCACCGTTTGAAGTACCCTCGTGTATATGTATATATTTTTGCCCAAAAAGGAACTGTATGAAACATTCAGTTCAGCAGCATGTCTTTTTCAAAATTATGCCAATATATCTTTTTCCAACAGTTATTTCTATATTCAGACAAGGATACTTCAAAACATCAGTGGAAAATGCAATTAAAAGATTATCTTAGTGGCTGGCATTGTGGCACAGCAGGTTAAACCACTACTTGCAACTCCATATGAGCACGGGTTCAAGTCCTGGCTGCTTCACTTCTGATCCAGCTCTCTGCTAATGTGCCTGGAAAGAAGTGGAAGATGCCCCCAAGTTCTTGGAGCCCTGCACCTACATTCGAGGCCTGGATGAAGCTCCAGACTCCTGGCACCAGCCTGGCCCAGCCCTGGCTGTTGTAGCTCTGTGAAGAATGAACCAGCAGATGGGAGATCTCTCTGTCTCTTTCTCTCTGTCACTCAGCCTTTCAAATAAATAAATCTTTTAAAATAAATAAATGAGGGATTATATCAGTGCAAAAAAGTTTTGAATTACAATTTTTCATAATATGCACTTTCCATGAACTTTTTGAAGACCTTTGTATGCATGGATTTAAAATGTTTTTGCATCAAATTTATTTTATTTTATTTTAAAGATTTATTTATTTATTTGAAGGGCAGAGTTACAGAGAGGCAGAGAAAGAGAGAGAGAGAGAGAGAGAGAGAGAGGTCTTCCATCCACTGATTCACTCTCCAGATGGCCGCAATGGCTGGAGCTATGCAGATCTGAAGCCAGGAGCCAGGAGCTTCTTCCAGGTCTCCCACATGGGTGCAGGGGCCCAAGGACTTGGGCCATCTTCTACTGCTTTCCCAGGCCACAGCAGAGAGCTGGATTGGAAACGGAGCAGCCAGGACTCAAACCTGCATCCATATGGGATGCCAGCACTGCAGGCTACATTTACCCGCTACGCCACGGCACTGGCCCCCACATTTTTTTTTTTTTTTTTTTTGACAGGCAGAGTAGACAGTGAGAGAGAGAGCGAGAAAGGTCTTCCTTTGCCGTTGGTTCACTCTCCAATGGCCGCCACAGCCAGCGCACCACACCGATCTGAAGGCAAGAGCCAGGTGCTTCTCCTGGTCTCCCATGGGGTGCAGGGCCCTAGCCCCTGGGCCATCCTCCACTGCACTCCCGGGCCACAGCAGAGAGCTGGCCTGGAAGAGGGGCAACCGGGACAGAATCCGGCGCCCCGACCAGGACTAGAACCTGTTGTGCCGGCGCCGCAAGGCGGAGCATTAGTCTATTGAGCCACGGCACTGGCCTCCCACATTTATTTTTAAATTCCATTTCCATGAACTTTTGCAGTAGGTTCATAAATAACATAAAGTAAATATAAATTTCTCTTCTATGAACAGGGCCATTCTTTCTTTTTTTTCTATTTATTTATTTATTTTAGTTTTTAACAGATTTAATATAGTTCATAGATACAATTCTAAGAATATAATGATATTCCCTTCCTCCCTCCCTCTCTCTCCCTGTCCTTCTCTTTCTCTCTCTTTCTGTCTTTCATTTTTGAGATAATGTTTTTTAAATTCACATTACGGCCGGCGCTGCGGCTCAATAGGCTAATCCTCCACCTAGCGGCGCCGGCACACCGGGTTCTAGTCCCGGTTGCCCCTCTTCCAGGCCAGCTCTCTGCTATGGCCCGGGAGTGCAGTGGAGGATGGCCCAAGTGCTTGGGCCCTGCACCCCATGGGAGACCAGAAGAAACACCTGGCTCCTGCCATCGGATCAGCGCGGTGCGCCGGCTGCAGCGCGCCGGCCGTGGCGGCCATTGGAGGGTGAACCAACGGCAAAGGAAGACCTTTCTCTCTGTCTCTCTCTCTCACTGTCCACTCTGCCTGTAAAAAAAAAAAATTTACATTACAGTCAAGGGCTTAAAACTCCACCAAATAAAAAGTTCAACAAGTAAAATGCAAAAAGACCCTAATTTAATGGGCATACAGCTAAGGGCTATAAACAGTTAACCTAATGGAAAGATGAGCATTTTACCCATATACATAATTTTAAAGTAATCACAAATCATTAAAACTATACTAATATAACATTCTTAACTATTGGTTTGGCAAAGATATAAAACAAAGATTGACAAAACTATATTTACAGCAATACTGATACATACAGGTGTTTCTCTTTTAATTTTTTTTTCTTTTTTTAAATTTTATCTCCCACATATAAGGGAAAAGATGCAGTCTTTGTCTTTCTGTGCCCAGTTTATTTCACTCAACATGATGTCCTCCAGTTGTGTGCATTTTGCTGCAAATGG